GAAGATCCCATTCTGCGCTACTGTTGCGTTGTGAATTGCCACAGTCGTAAATGACTTCAGTTTTACTGATTTCTGCAGCTTTCACAAAGCAGAATGGCGAGAGCGCTAAATACAGGCAGTTGCGAACGTGTTGGGTAAGCGGATTATTCGCGTTCTCCACAGCCATTTGTTTAAGTAAGTGTGATAATGTAGGCCTCCTGTTATTGTTTTGAGTAGCCTTGGCGGAAAACCGTAGTAACTTTCATTATAAAGCTTAACGGACCCTCTGACCACGGTGCAAGATGTACAACAGCAGAGAGGTGACACCCGGTGGTTTCGTCGTTGTGCACGTCGCGACTACGGATAATCTGAAGCTGTCGCCACCCCATAGCACCATGCACGTAGGGCTTTGAAAGCTCTAAGACCTGGCTTCAACTAGGAAATGCGAACACGTGCGTCATACAGGTAAATCGCAAAATGATCGCGACCACAATAAGTTTTCCTTCTTTTTTTTCCTTTTTTTCCCGTTGGGTCTTTGCAATTACCGGAGCTATCTCGCAGGCATCGGTTTTGCCTTTCTTTGTACACTGAGAAAGTGGACAAGCATGTATTCCCACCCGGAGTATATACAAATGGAAGACAACTGTCAACAGAGCATTCGATTATGCGTAATAGAACAGTACAATGCACAGGAAGCGAGAAATCGATGTAGATCGCAACTGCAAAACAAAAAACCACCAGGGCCATTCGTGCCTGATAAAGCGTGCTTCGTACCGCTGACCATAAGATAGATTGCTCGTGTATGCACTTCACCGATTTGGCATCAAGTGTATGCTCAAGTTTAACGCATTTAGGCGTTACAGAACACACGTGGAAGTGCTTGCCTCAAACTCGATGTCATGCAACGCTCGCTTGCATTTAAACTGCCAGTTGCAGCTCGATGAAATAAATAAAACATCTTTTGCATTGTGCCCACATTTCGTTTTGATGAGCTTCCTACTTTTTTGAAGCGAGGTTGGATTGAATGAAGAAGCTTGCCAGTTCCTTGATTTTCAGGAAACCGCGCCTCATGACCAACAAAAGAGGAGGACCTATGAACGTTCGCTTGCGGACAGCTCTCTGTGCACTACCCATTTGTGGCCGGCGTGGGGATGGTAGCACTGGTGGCGGCCTTTTTCACAGCGTCGCCTGGGCGGAGTCTGATGTCCATAAGCTATGGGCATTGCGAATAGCGACAGTTTCTGGTGGTGCCAATGCGTGTTTTCGACTTCGTTGACGCATTTTCAGGCTTTGGAAATGTATCGCAATGTTGAAGATTGGGTTATAGCAATAAGTATCTGAGCCTGGAATTGCAATGTAAATTTTGTTGACACTGGATAATCGAAGAAAACAATTTCGTTGTGGCGAGAATATTTATGCATTGACTTCTATAGACTGCTGACAGGAAATTGTGAATTTTTCATTGAAGCGGCGTTCATTATAGAGAAATTCGACTGTAACACATTGTCAGTGCAATGCTTCTGCAGCAGTGAGAGGGCTGAAGCATTTTCTCTGGCTTCTGTGGTTAAAGAGGGCACTTCCACAAGGACAATCAATCTCTTGGATTTTCAGTTAAAGGAGAGCGTGTGCATGCGGGTCAGGTTCGTTCAGACGCTTCTGTCTTCATGCATTTGGAAAAAAAAGTTATTTGGTTTGAACACTCCCGTTGCTCAAACGTACAAGAAAAGTTCTTGGGACGTCCAGGTGGTTTGGTGCTGGTTTCGAGACATGCTTTGCATTAAAACTTGTTTTAAGGCGTTCTATCTAGGCTTTGGGACGCGATCACGTGAGGGTAAAGTTATTTAACTGGCCACCACTATAGTGCAGACTTCTGTTGTGCTGAAAATTGGAAGAGTAGCGGTGCACTAACTTAAATCTGGTGGATCTCAGGGGACCTCTGCGTTCAAAGCATTGGTATTGTGTAGAGTGTTTCCCTTTCCACCAGGCTGAAGAGAAGTCCAGCTATGCCTACAGGTCCAAAAGCATGGCAAGGTGGACAGCAACTAGCCTCTGTAGAATGTCGACTTTTTCAGCACTGCAATCTACCTTTGACCAGGGAACAACTAGGCTGCGGTGACCCGGTCGCGGCAACTGTGAAGCTGCCTTCTGGTACCAAGAGTGTGTTGGTGTGGTGTAGGTTGTGGTGACGTCAAAGTGTGCCCCTACTGTGTGATGGGCTGTGTGGCATGCGCCTATTGGCGAATTCCATTGAGAGAACAGGAGTAGAGGGGCAGGGCAGTGAGTAGTGTGGGGCCGAGCACTGAGAGCAGGGGCCACTCAACCTGTCACTGAGATGCGGTGCGCTCCCGGAGGGCAGTTGAAGGGGGTGATGAGTGGGGAGACCATGTGACTGAAACATTGATTGATTGATATGTAGGGTGTAACGTCCCGAAACCACCATATGATTATGAGAGACGCCGTAGTGGAGGGTTCCAGAAATTTCGATCCCCCGGGGTTCTTTAACGTGCACCCAAATCTGAGTACACGGGCCTATAACATTTCCGCCTCCATCGAAAATGCAGCCGCCACAGCCGGGATTCGATCCCGCGACCTGCAGGTCGGCAGCCGGGTATCTTAGCCACTACACCACCGCGGGGGGATGACTGAAACATTCCAAGCCCCAGCACATTCTTAGTGGGGCAGCAGCAAAATACGCATGAAATCGGTCAGCCACGTGCTCTTCATTATCCTAATACCTAGTATGTTTGTGTAATGACCCATTCCGCAGACGTCCAGCTGCCATCATAGCCACCCGTACAAAACAGCGGTGCCAAACAACACATGTTTGCTAACAATGCCACCGCGCTCGGTGGCTGAAAAAAAAAAAAAAATCGTTAACTGTGACGTTCAAGGGCCGTGCGACTTGTGCTACTCCGCCTACTTTGCTTTTCAGCCGAGAGCACTACAAACTGCTCCTGGCTGCTCTAGGCACAGCAAAAGCACTTTCCCTCTACCAATGAATGACAGTGCTCCTGCACCTGTTCGACCACTAAACATGCCGGCTCAGATGGGAGCACTTTCAGCATGCTTTTAAGTGCTCCTGCTCTCTCAATGCAATTCACCATATGTGTTGTGGTTTACAATCAGTGAGACGCCTGAAAAGACGCACTATGACCACTTGGGGGTGCAGCGTCACTGCAGCCCTCATGTGACCTCTTCGAGCAGTGAATGGGCTGTTATGACTGGCTGAGCAAGGACATGGCACCCAAAGGATGCTCGTTGGCGTACCGACCAAACACGGTATGCGTCCTGCAGGAACGCAAGCGTTGTCTGTGTGGGCAGCACGGAACGCACATCGGCATCGCTTAGACGCACAGTCGACGTCAGACAAAGAATGCGTGCACCGACCAAGGGTTCTAAAAGGAGTGTTGCGTTTAAGCTGCTCTTTATCTCTCTCTCTCTCTCTCTCAGGCTTTCATTACGGCCGTTGGTGTCTCGTGTGAAATGAATGTCAACGCCTAGGCTATTTAACACCGTGTATATATGTAGAAAAATTGTGCGTACTTAGTGTGAGCGAGAAGCCTCCCGAGAGTTCTTTCCCGGTGCCTGAGTGGCCGCCTGTGCCTCTGCTCCTCAATCAAATCAATGGTTAAAAGCCTGTCTACCCAAGACGCAACACCAACAAGCCCATGTTGCTGCTCTTATCACTGTTCATGTATTATCTAAACGCGAAGCAGACGTTGATAGCCCAGAATGTTTACGAACAGTCTCATCAAACCTTGAGAAAGCACCAGGAACTGAGCCCATTGAGTCCACATCACCCTCCATACGAAGCAATGAGTGCGACACCATGATGTGTATTTTATTGACCCCAGAAAGCGAAGGGTGGACGCGTAACATGGTGTATATAGCTGTTTCGCAGTGAACCTTATATCACCAGGGCCATAAGCGATGGGCCCACTACTGAAAGCTGCGTGTGCTGAAACCAAATTGTGGCTGTTTCAATCAGAAGGTATGCTTTTACTAAGGAGACAACATTTGAAAAAAAAAAAAACAGAAGCACGCCAAAAATTTGAATTCGAACTCTGGCACTCACGAGTTCAAAGGGGTAGGGTCATTTAGGGCGATTTGCCACAAGAGCTATTACACAAGCAGATGTACTGGTGGAAGGAATAAAGAAAAAGCGCTTCTAGTCGAAAGCCCACAGAGAAAGCATATTTGAGAAAGTGTGTTCCCAAGTTCACGTGTTCTCCTGTGGGCAAGGCACACAAAATTAGCTGACGAAGTTCAGAAATAGACGCGACAGACATTCTGACAGCATACGTGCAGTTATTAGTAAAAATTATTTTAATAACATGCAGCGCAGCTCTTCTAACTAGCTATCAGCAGCCCTCCTGAAACAGACGACTTCGGCCAAAGAACCACTGCCATAGCTACACGCAACCGACCGGAATAGACGTCACGAGCCCGTGTTGCCACTGAGCGGACTTGCCCAACAGTTGCGTAGGCGCCAAGCATAGCATCGTAGATTACTTTGCATGCACACATGACCACTGTTTATTCAGCGCAACACTTAGTGGCCCCAAGAAGAAGCTGCACATGTTTTGACAGCGCCCGCGTGACTATTGCCAGTTCATGCCCCCAAATCCGACTTTAGCGCAGTTTGGCACAATTTCTCAATATTGTTAGGATAGCACAGTAAATGTGATTTGGCACACTTTGGCCCAGTTGGCTCAGGAGTGGAGTCACTGAACTTTGCATTGCGCTTGGGATAATCTCACAGATTCAAAGAAGTAGGAAAGTTCCGAAGGGTGAATTTGAGAGCAATACCGGCACGACTCAGAACAATTGAAGCTGCTCAAGTGCCTGCTGCCCATGATGGCTTTTCCTGCAATGCAAGTTTGCCAAAAATATGATGACACTTTGAGACCTACCACATCATTAAAGATGAAACATGATGAAGTCCCGGGACAAGACCACACTACCAATGTGCTCTGACATGATCTTGCTCAAGCCAATGTAATCAAAGAGCTATAACCGACCTCTTTGCTGAGCTTGAAGCGGCGCACTTTGTCAATGCAGTAGAAAACCAGCTGCAGGAGTGGCTTCATTCCTTCCACGGCTTCGACCGACACTCGACCCAAGCCAGGAACTGCCAAACAAGATAGCACAAAAGTTAGATGCTGCCTGTAAATTAACAGCCATTTACATTTTCATAATCTCTGGACATTATTTCACTCTGGACATTATTTACACTGTTTTCTTTCCAGCCGTCGAGAAGTTCGGCATCTGTCAAGTCAACTAGGTCATCCTCAGACACGACTCCTCGAACCGTGTTCATCAAACGATGTGCTGAAACAGTGATGGGGACATGACCAAAATTCTTCAAACAGGATAGTTTATCATATTGTTCCTTGTCTCAGACTTCAATGAGGAGGTCACCACTAGCCATTTTTGTTGGTTTGTAACCTGTTCTAAGTTTGTCTATTAGGCACCTTGAAACTAGGAATGGTGAAAGTTTTCCGACAGGTTTTGCTGGTGTGTCACTGTGGATAACGTGGTAGGGTGGAAAGTTGTTTTTATTTAGTTGGATAGTTGAAAGCTTGCTCCGGTGCGTCCCTTCTTTCGGGAGCAATCAAAAGAGGGTTGGAAGTTTTTGGCCATAAAATATGGAGTGCGTTCTGTGGCGGTGGCAGCCACCCACCACGGAGCCCAACGAGAGGACGCTGCAAGACATGAAGAAATCGCTTTCATATGCCAGCTGTACACCGCCACTATAACCTGATGAGAGGCATTCCAAGGTGGGGTGAACACACAAGGTTAACCCTTGCTGCCAGGAAGAACCGGAAGTAAAAATAAGAGAAAAGTAGACAGGACAGACTAAAAGTGAGAGATAAAGACGAAGTTGTAGGGCAGAGAGATAGGAAAAGGAGACGGCTGATTTCTGCTGGGTGGGTCAGCCCAGGGGTGCCGTCTACGTGAAGCCAGGGCCAAAGGGGTGTGTTGCCTCTGCCTGGGGGGCCTCAAAGGTCCGATCACCCGGCGTCGACTCAACCCCCAGGATCCCCTTTTCCCCGGACACGGCTCAGCCACGCACGGCTAGGCACGGGAGATGTTGAAGCCCCCTGTTAACTGCAATCCATAGTGTCGCTACACACCAAACACCTGCTTGTACAGACGTCCCAGCGGGTAGCCGCCTCTTTGATCAGTGTACAATAGTGGCAAGGAATAGGTCCCAGTTAACCTCTGGGACTACAAAAGCAGAAATGATATGCAAATTAGACGACAGCTGTGTAAGCACCCCACCCCTTACACTACCCCTGTTTGAGAGTGATTACCTGAGCGGGCTGTAGGAGAATTATGAATACATGTTAAAAGTGATCTGACTGTCGATGTATTTATCAGGCTTGTCAATATCTTACACAATTTTGCTAACTAAATTTCACTTGAAATCAGGGGCTCTCCTTTATACTTTGTCCTATTTCTTTCCTACGTTTTCACACTGTGAAACTTTTCAATGTGAACCTAACATTATTTATTATTATTTATACAGTACTGCTAGCCTCTAGCTGAGGCTGTAAGCAGGAGTGGTAGAGACAGGTACAAGATAAAGAGAACAAATGAAGATACAACACTCGTGGCATAAAAAAAGAAAGAAACCAAAGAACACTCTAGATCAACAAAATGTAAGCCGTAATCGCAACTTATTAAGCATGGGTATGCGCAAACTGATTGCAGAAAGATATGACCATATTTCTGTTTACAAAAAAAAAGGGGGGGGGGGATATGCCAGAGCCTCATCATGTCAACTGAAAGGGTTTTAAAAGAAAATGGTTATAATGCACTCTGCAGAAAAATAAAACAAATAAGTGTAAGGCATATGGACAGTGTTTAAAACTACAAAGGTTGTAAAAAATTGTTATGATGATTACACCTGAAGCGAGCACACCTGAAGAATTTCTGCAAAAGAATCAGTAAGACATTCCACAACACTGGCTGGGAGGTGGTTCCACTCACGAGTTGTCTTAGGAAAAAAAGAGTTTGCAAAAGTTTCAGTGCAGCAGGAATACTCTTTTATTTTTTTATTATGATGGGACCGGGTAGCTCGCTTGGGGACTGGTTCTATGTACGTTTCCTTGTGTATACCAAGTTTGTCGGGAAACAGCAGATGCATGAATTTCTTACTGATTTATCAGCGCAAAAAAGACAACACCTTAAGAATTGTGTTGTCTTTATTGCGCTGATAAATCAGTCTAAATGATCATGAACCAACTCGCCCAAGCAACAGTTTTAGCATGAATTTTAATGGGCTCGCTGGCACCCTTTTTGTACGCACTCAAGACCTTCTTTTTTTACCAAGGCACTCCCAGAAGTGCACCAGTTATAAGAACGAAATACAAACCGAGCCGCTTTCTTTTGGGCAGATTCTAGTTTTTTTTTTTATGTTGCCTTGAGTGTATGGGTCCCAAACTATTGACGCATATTCCAATACAAGACGGACTAAATATTTATATGCTACTAATTTAACCTCGTGGATACATTGCTGCAAATTTCTGTTTAAATAACTTAGTTTCCACATTGCTCTCTTCACAGCTTATGATATATGTTTGTTCCACCTCAGATCCGACGTTATTGTAACCCCAAGGTATTTATATTTGTTAACAACAGCGAGACATTTGCCGCCTATGGAATATAAAAAACATAAAAGCAATCACTTTCGTGTGACAGTCATTGCAACAGATTTTTTAACGTTAATTTTCGTTTGCCGATCCGTGCATCACACTGTGATGTTTGTCTCAACATGATTGTTAACAATGAAGCAGGGTGTGGACTTAGAGGAAGACATGAGAAAGCAAAAGGAAGTTACGGGATTTGGAGCTAGTCCTTGCACAGTGAAAACATCTTCAAGTTCTATAACCATGGCTCCTTGTCTATTACAATGTTCGGTGCGGTGAAACCCGGGACTACGTATTGGGCTGGAATTGAGACCGAGACGACAAGTGCTTGATTGAAGGGACTGCGTTCGTCACCTGGAGGTTCGCGAGGTGGGAATAAATTAAGTTTTTTTCTGCTCTAGACTATCATTGCCCTTCGAGACAATGACTCGAGGTTCGCAAAGCTAGGATGTCTATGAAGAAATAACATTCACGTCCTGTCAGCCCAACCCTCTGAGTAGAGATGGGTCGCTCAGGAGCGAGCTGGATCTTTTCAGTGGCTCTTCTTAAAGAACGAGTGATCCGTGACTTAGCAAAAGTGGGCGGCGGTTCTTTGAGAGACAACTCACCAGGAAGCCAACTGACCCACCGCCGCTACCCGCTTGCAGCTCTTTGACTGATCCGTCTCAGCAAATGACCCGCCGCTGCTGCCTGCTCATGGCTCTCCTACTGATCCGTCTCGGCACCTGACCCGCCGTCGCTACCCTCTTGCGACTCGCGGCTCTCCTACTGATCGGCCTCGGCAACTGACCTGCCGCCCCTACCCGCTCACTGCTCGTAGATCTCCGACTGAGCCTGCAAACACCTACTGATCCGACTCGGCGGCTTGTATGAGCTGACAATTCAACGGTTCAGCAAGAGGAACTGAGCGAATCGAATGATGGTTCTCTCTCACTCACTCAGAGCGGAGAATCTCTAGGCCTTCGCTCTCTCTTTGACCCATCGGATCTGTACCATACTGACCCGCACCACTTCGCTTCGTTCGCTTTCCATGAGCTGGCTGGGTCTGAGTTAGTGTGGCTTTTACGCCAACTATTGGTGATGAAAGAAAAGAACTGCTGAAAGGCATGCCCTCCGAGATGGCGGGCGCGCGGCAAATTTTCTCTCAACACGCTGTGCGCCCGCCATTTCAGAGGCCATGTGAAGGGTATTCGTGTCGCGCGCTTTTTCGCCGCCTGGCTGGCTGGCTCCGAATTTCGTAAAATGTTTCGTATCTGGCATTCCTAAAGCATGCGCTGGCGATCTCCGTTTGCCTGTTTCATGGTGCTCGCTTGCTGTGTGCTTGTGTGTCACGATACTTTAAAACATATGCTGTTTGTGCATCCTGTTTTGTTGGTCAGATACATGGAGAAGGAAACAACTTTGTGCTGAGATACTTGAAGAACAAGTTTTAGAAAAAGGTGCCGACGCCAAAAAGAATGACAGGTGAGTGTGCCCATTGAGCCGTAGTATTCACTTGGTCAGTTTTAATTTGCGTTCATATCGACAAGCAGCACCATAACTTTTTTTTTTCCAGTATGAACACAGTTAATACTTTCGAAAGTGAGTGATATGAAAAGCGCACAATTGCAGTGTTTACGTCACTCTACAAACAAGCAGTGAGAAGCACGTGAAACACAACTGCCACGGAGCCGCATGTTTGAATCCATTCATTGCATTTGTGTCGGGCTAATCACTCATTATCGCTTATAACAGTGTTTCTGAGGCTTTAGGTAGATGCATGAAAAGTTGTATTGCTCTGTGACGAAGAAACACGTTCATTTTAGCACGATTCACCGGCGCTCTTCATCTCATTAAATGTTGTCACTTTTCTTCAGAATGAAAGCGTTCTTATTATGCTATTCCGGAAGGCCACAGCTGATTGGTGCGCACAGAGGACAGCTGAAGAATTGCAGAATCAGTGATTCTCAAGGACAAATGACATACATCTTTCGATATTATGTGTTCATTTGGTCCGTGTTTTTCACATTACTAATTGAAAAACTGCAGCGACAACATAGTGGTTAGAGCATCAGCTTTGCATGCAAGGGGTCCGTGGTACGAATCCAGGTGCGGCGCAGTTCCCAACAAGATTTTTATAAAGTCCGTGTGGTGATGGAACTGCAATAGGAGGCCTGGGGTGCGGCCTCACCGGTGACCACCGCCGGTAATGCAGTACCTTACCAGAGAAGGATTGCCCACCCTGGTACCGTATTTAGCCGCTACCTCCCACATGCATACGTCAATTAACTCACGCCCCTCAGTCCCCAGCGGCTGCAAAGCAACTGACCACGGCGCCGGTCAGATCTTCATCGCAGCAGAGGGTGATAATAATCTCTGGGTCTGGACAGGCCACCATTGGAGCCTGAACTTGGCAATGTTTAACACTACAACGTTATCTAGTGAGGCAAGTCTAGCAGTACTATTCAAGGAGCTAGAGGGTGTTAAATGGGATGTA